TTCCACTTCAGACGACGATATTTTTGCCAAAAGATACTTGCTTACGTAACGATCGCCAAGCGCCCCTGTCAGTAACGTGGCACCTGCCTTTTGCCATTACAAAGATGTATTCCCTTAGGTTGCGAAACTGACAGTAGTGATAGCAAAATAAACAGATAGAAAACGTCGTCTCCTTCTTTAGAGAGGCTCTTTTGTGCAGGATTGTATCTCACTAAACATTGCCAACAGGAAAAAAATTCTACTTCAACTTAATTAACGACAAGCACAGGAAGTTATCATCATCATCATCCGGTGCCTTGCCGACTGGCGTGGGCGATCATGGACCTCCACTTCCATCTGTCTTTCGATGCAGCAATGGTGTCTGTTGTTCCTCCTGCTCCCAGCCATGTTGTCATCTTGTCCAGTATCTTTTCCCTCTGTCTGCCTCTGCTTCTCTTTCCATCAAACTTTCCTGTTGTTACAATATTCTCCAATGCTTCTTTCCGCACTGTGTGTCAGAAGAAATTTGCCTGTCGTTTTCTTATATTCGTGATAAGTTGTTTTCTATAATTTGCTTCAACCAGGACTTTTTCATTTGTTTTTCTAGCTGTCCATGGGATACGTAGCATGCGTCTCATGAACCACAACTCTGTCGCTACAATTGTTCTTTCCAGCTGTTCATTGATTGTCCACGCTTCGCACCCGTATAATAGGATTGGCTCGATGTAACTTTTCAGTACTCTTTTCCTCGTTTCCAGTGACAGATTGGTGTTTGTTAGTATCTGTTTCATATTGTGGAAGGTTGCTTTTGCTTGGCAAATGCGGCTTTTAATTTCGGTGTGACATCTACCATCTGATGATATAATGGTCCCCAAATATTTAAAATGTTGTACTTGCTTGAGGGTGGTATCATTGATTTTGATATTGCATGTTGGGATTGGAGTTTTTCTGCTTATCACCATCGTTTCAGTTTTCTTGGTGTTTAGGCTTAAGCCCAAGTTGTTACTCTCTTGTACGATGACATTTAATAGATTCTGCAGGTGCACTTCATCTTCTGCTATTAGGACTGTGTCATCTGCATATCTTAGATTGTTTATATTATGTCCCCCTATCGAGGTAACTGGCATTTCTTCTATATGTCTCATGATATTTTCACTATACAGGGAGAACAAGTCTGGAGAAAGTACACATCCTTGTCTGACTCCTATTTTAATCCATATGTATTCGTTGATGTCGTTTTCTATTCTCATTGCAGCAGTTTGATCCCAGTACATGTTTTTGATAATCCTTAAGTCTTTCCCGTCGATATTAAGAACTTCCAGCATGTCGATTATCTTGTCGTGCCTGACTTTGTCGAATGCCTTGGTGTAGTCTATAAAACATGAATGAAGATCTTTCTGAACTTCTAGGGCACGTTCTATTGTTGTTCTGATGACATATATGGCATTTACAGTGCCTTTGCCTCCACACTGTTCTTGGGCTATTTCTAGGAACATTTTATTTCGTATTCTGATCATAATTATTCTGAGTAATATTTTTGTTATGTGCCTCATGAGGCTGATGGTACGATGCGTTTCACATTCGTTTGCATAAGGTTTCTTTGGTAAAGCTATGAAGATAGATTTTGACAAGTCTGATGGAATATGTCCAGTGGCATATATGTTGTTAAGAAGTTTTGTCAGCGTGGTGATTCCAAAGTCTTCTAAAGCTTTAATCATCTCTGTGGTAATGTTGCCGGTCCTGCAGCTTTCCCATTCTTCATCTTTCGTAGTGCCTTGATAACTTCTTCTTTCATGATTGGTGGTCCCTCGTTGTTATTTTCCACTCTTCTTTGTTCATCTCTTTTGTCATTGTACAGGTCACCGATATATTCTGTCCAACGTTCTAGTATCTTGTCTTTGTCCATTTTGATATTCCCATCCTTTGATTTGAGGCATCCTGTTGATCCACGTGTTCTTGTATGGCACACCTCTTTAATTTTTCTTTGTAGATCTTTTGAGTTCGCTTTGGAATGATTTTCCATTTCCTCACATTTTTCTTTTAACTTCGTCTCTTTTGCTAGATTACATTTGTGTCTGATTTCTTTATGAAGATTCACATATTTTTCCACAGGAAGTTATAGACCTAATCAAAAGAACATTTTAAGAAAATATCCTTCGAAGATTTAAACACTGACTGTTCATTAATTGTCTGTGATTGAAAATATTAAACAAGGTCCTTTCTCGTGACTGTCTTTAATTTGTTTTGAACATTTTTTAAAAAAGAATAGGGCAAGGAAGATGTCTTTAGGAGAAATCGACATCAAAATCTTATTTCCAAAATAACGTTTTTCTTTAAGAAAACAGGTAGCAAAGAATGTTTCTCCAGAGTGAGAGTGATTGCACAGCAGGGGGATGATACTTTTTTCCGTATAAAAGTTGTTGGTTTGTTTTTTACCCCATCCCCCGTTTTTGTTTTGGTAAGTGTTTTACAGGGATCGTAACTGCATAAGGTCATATGACCGAGCGGAACAATCAGTTTGGTAAAAATTAATCTTGAAATTTACCCAGGTGGCGGCCGAAGCCTACCCTTATTGATTTTGGACCACCAATGGATCTTTGACGTGCGCAACGTGCACACGGGACCTCCGAGATTTTTCGCCTTTGTCCGAGAAGGCTAGGTGTAGATCTTTCCTACCAGATGATAAAGGGGTGTGGCTGAAAGACAGCAGTAAGAAGAAGTCAAGGAGAAGCAATAGAAAGGCTGCAGGAAGAGTCAGGAGCCGAGAAGAGGGGGCAAAGGAGGTGAGGGGGTGGGGGCAGAATTGTGAAAAAGAAAGCAGACGACAGAACATTGCAAGAGAGCAGGAAAGGAGGTGAAAGGAGACAATTTTAGAGAAGAAAAATTTTCGGTCGCTACCCGGATTTGAACCCGGGACCTTTGAATAAGAGGTTAACACCTTAACCTCTAGACCACCAGAGCCCCCTAAAGGGTGTTTACTGGTTACGATTGAGTAACTTGATGAACAGTTTTCTTAGTCTTAGATGAATTTATTTTTGCTCTTCTTATATTTCTTTTTTCTTTTTCTGCCTGAAATTTGACCTCTCCTGTTAACATTATTATACTCTATACATGGTGTGTTTGCAATACACATTTACGATCTGAACAAGATTTGAACAAGTTTCAACCCACAGTACTCCTTATTTAGACATATTTTGAGGTCACCCAGATTCATTTTTACTAGATCAGTCAAACAACCATAAAAAATGTTGTTGTTTTCCAGCAGTTATGTGAAAGTGAAACGAAACTGTAGTCCCCTGAACATCCCGGCCTATAGTAAACAACTGAAATATGTGAAGGAGTTTAAATATCTTGGCAGTACTTTTTTCTGAAAACGGGTCTATAGACAGAGAAAAAGAAATGCGAACTCAAAAAAGCTAACGCTGTCACCAACCAGCTCGCACCCCTCCTATCTCATCCAAACATCTCCATATACACAAAGAGACAGCTTATCACCTCAGTATCCGTACCAACATTATGCTACTAGTGTCAGACCTGGACATTAAATAAAACCCATGTAAGCAAAATCATCACATGCGAAATGAAATATCTCCGCAAAACCCTTAACAAGACGAGACAGGCAGAGAACTGAAGAAGTAAGAGAAGAAGAGCTATCGGCATTGAGTCCTGTCTGCATTACATGGAAAAACAGAGAATAAAATGGTGTGGCCACTTGTTACGTATGTTACCTGGCCAGCCAGCCTCGAGAGCCTACAACACCAAGCACTCAGGCTATAGAGAAAGGGGAAGACCACGCAAAAGGTGGATCGAGGGTGTCAAAGAAACCCTAAGAAAACATAATATCACAACTGAAAGAGCTGCGGAGCTGGCCTACCACAGAAAACTGCATCTCCCATCGACGCTTAACGGCAACAGAGGATGAAAAATAAAGTAATGTAAGTATATCCCTGTTCTTGGCAGAATATTTTATTTTCAAAATACAATCAAAAGTCTAGAATAGTGATCAAAACAATTTTTAAAGAAGCCTTTCAAAACGCCACATCCTGGGCTGTGTAATTAGTTCAACACCGAAGACAATAATAGCTCATGAATCAAGCATGCTGATTAAAGATTAGAAAAGGGATTGCCATCAGAAACTAGCTTCATGCTTTACGATTATTCGTGTATTAGGCTCCGACGCTGACAGCAAAGCACATAGCGCAGGGGACAGATTCGGTTCTCTATTGCTTGACGCTACCCAGTTATTCATCCCTTGTGGACTGTTATGTCAGGGAAGTGCCGGCGTGCCATTTGGGAACAGCACTCATTAGGAGTCCATTCATTAGTAATTCCAGGCGCAAACGTTACTGAAGAATGACTCCATGCAATGACTGTCAGTGCAACAGCAACAACCGATTTCTATTCCAGATGACTAATTTTGTATTTTGTTTGGGTGTCTGGGGTAGTCGAGATTTGTATTGTCCGCCAACGGTACCCCACATTTTCACAGAAATCCCCGTCACCGTGCAGTGCACACTCTCCGGAATTTAGGGGAGTGAGTGGGTGATACAAAGAAAGGGCAGGGATCACAGGAGCGTTTTTAAGGTCAGTTAGATGTTAGTATCAATGACGCTCTTCATTTTTGAACTTTCAAAGACAAGGTTTTTGCAGATACCAGTCTCTGGATGGGATTGCATTAGAATTTTTCTCTTGTCGCGAGTGAACAAAATGTCCAGGAATCTCAGGTTTCTGATTTTGACATGCTCTCCCCCCAAAAAACAAACAAACAACAACAACCAAAAACAAATACAAACAAACAAAAAACGCACAAACAAACACACACACACACACACACACACACACACACTCAGACACAGACACACACACACACACACACACACACACACACACACACACACACACACACACACACACACACACACACACACATTACTGTCCTTCTTGATATCAGTTGGACAAACTGTACGAAACTGACTTTGAAAAATATTGAAAAATAACTCAAATTCAAAATAAGGGTAAATTTATTGCTAGCAATGTGAAAGTCATTAGACAATTATTATACACTTCAATTATAGAATAAGATTACCTGTGAATGCATCATTATATTACAATATTATTCAGGCACCGGGTAAATACTACACAGCCTTCTCTTATGATCTAAAGTTGAGGTGACGATCCGTATGTCTTGTAATAAACGGTTTATATACGGTTTAACTATAAAACTTGATTCACGTTTTGCACAATAAGAAAAGTCCAGCTTGGGTTTTTTTCCTTCTTGTTTCTTTTCCCGATCTCTTCATCTACGTCTAGCAATCGGTGAAGAAAAACCGGCGAATCTGGGGGTTAGCCCACGGGCCAGGACCACATGGCTGGCAGTCACGTGATGGAGGACACACGCCTTGGGCTAGGGGTGGCCAGGGTCCAACGGGGTTACCTGTGACTGGGAACAGAAACAAACGAAATTAATCAGTCTATTAATTCTTTAACAAATGATTCAATATTAATGCAACAGTGATGATGATGATGATGATGATGATGATGATGATGATGATGATGATGATGATGGATGATGATGATGATGATGATGATGATGATGATGATGATGATGATGATGATGATGATCTCATCATGATGATAATAATAATAATAATAATAATAATAATAATAATAATAATAATAATAATAATAATAATAATAATAATAATAATAATAATAAATAGCATTTATAGTGCGCATTTCCATTTTCTAAAAGATGCTCAATGCACATTACAACGAAAAAGACATCACATCTTAAAAATTAATCGACATGTGTGTACGTAAAACAAAGTATTATACATATAATATAAATGTATATGTGTAAAAATTTATATGAGAAAAACAATCTCGCAGTGAGGTTGGAAATGCGTTCACTGAAAATATACAATGCAATAAAAAATTGACAAACGGTCACAGTTAAGTTAAAACGTGAGTAACGAGAAACATTCATTAAAACATTCATTCTATACAGATAGAAAAACATTTCCGCTCCCTCTCTCTCTCTCTCTCTCTCTCTCTCTCTCTCTCTCTCTCTCTCTCTCTCTATCTCTCTCTCTCTATCTATCTCTCTCTCTCTCTATCTCTCTCTATCTCTCTCTCTCTCTCTCTCTCTCTCTCTCTCTCTCTCTCTCTCTTTTCTCTATCTCTCTCTCTTTCTCTCTCTCATTCTCACACGCTATTTCTTCAGTCTCACAGTCTGGCATTAACATGCATAATATTATATATTATATCACAGCACATCATTATGACAGGTATGCTTTTGTGAATAAAAAATGCTTCAGCTGATTATTGAAAATGGAAATTGTTGGGGAGATCTTATTTTATATGGGAGTTCGTTCCATACCTGGTGATCAAAGAACAAAAAGGAACGCTCGCCGTATGTTTTGTAATTTTGTTTTGGAGTTTTAAGAATTAGATTATTAGAGGCTGATCTAAGGGCTCTAGGTGGATGATATAATTCCAGGAATGATTTAAGATAAAAGGGTGCACTATCATTTATACATTTAGAACAGAGAACGGCAGTTTTGTATTTGATCCTTTCTTTTATTGGCAGCCAGTGTAGTTCAGAATTGGTGTTACAAGCGCTGATTTCTTTTGTTTTATTATCAATTTTGCTGCTTGATTTTGGAGTACTTGTAACTTTGATAGTTTTTCGGCTGTCAAACCCTACAAAATAGCATTACAGTAATCTAACTTTGATAAAATCAGTGTTGTTACAAGTGTCTTGGCTGCTGCTTTAGTTAAATAATTTCTTACACTGCCAATTTTCTTAAGCTGAAAGTAAATACTTTTGCTGAGCTGGCTAATTTGGGAGGACATAGACATATCATAATCCAGCTGAACCCCTAGATTTTTAATACTTCTTTTTGAACGAATGGTATGGTTATTAATTTCAATTTGCAGTTCTGTGAGATTTCTCATGGTTTTTGTATTTCCACTCAACATTATTTTTGTCTTGTCATCATTTAGTTTCAATTTTTTTCTGGTCATCCATATTTTTAAATCTCTAGTACATTGTTCAGTAGAGTTGACTAAAAGTGGTATTTGATCGAAATCAATAGACTTATAAATTTGAGTGTCATCAGCATAAAGATGGTAATTCATGCCATATTGTCTTATGGCAGATATCAGCAATAGGTTGTGTATACATTGTAAACAAGACAGGTCCAAGAACAGACCCCTGAGGAACACCACATCTAAGCAAAACATTATCAGAACACGTGCTTCCAACCACAACTGCTTGTGTTCAATCTTTAAAATATGACTCAAACCATCGCAGGACAGTACCCCTTATGCCAAAAGTAGTATTTAATCTCTCGAGTAAAATGTGATGATCAATGGTATCGAATGCAGCCGAAAGGTCCAAAAGAGTAAGAAGACACACTTTTTTTCCTCAACATATGATGATGATGATGGTTCAAATAATAGTAATAATAATAATAATAATAATAATAATAATAATAATAATAATAATAATAATAATAATAATAATAATAATAATCGAGCTAAGCCCGTTTGTGAGGTCAGTTTACATTTTTTACACAGGAGCCCAAAAAAATTTGCAAAAATATGAATCAGTTAAGAATTATCACAAAAGGTTACGTGGGCATATTTTCAACGTTCGGAAACTACCTTTTGATTTTTCAGGTTTGATCGTTTTTCCTGTAAAATTGAAGCTCTAAGATGTTTTCACTCTGCCATTAGCCATTTCATATTTTACTGGGGACTACTTCCGTTTCGGCTTTAGCTTCGTCGTGTGTGTGAGACAGCTGCTTCTAGATGTTTGGTGTAGTCATGTCCCCAACATGTTGAGTTCGTTTAAACCCACAAAATGTTTACTTTGACGTTTTCAAAATTTGGCACGTATTTGGTGCGTAGTTTATTTATAGAGCAAGACTCTAGATCAAAATATCTCTATATCCTAGATGTATTTGGGGCACAGAATTCAAGACTGATTTGGAGTACACTAGTTAGCAAGATCAAAAGTGAGGTTTGCGCTTTGCCGTGTGTGTGCCACAGAGCTCTACTTCGTGTTTACAAAGCTGCTTCTACTGTTTCCTGATCTAGAATCTCGATATCTAACTCTGTTTGGGTGAGTGTTTCGCAGTGTCGATGGGTACTTTAGGTCAAACTTCGTAGTATTGATATTTTCTAATATGTATTTGGTGTAGTGATGTCCCCAACACTTTGGGTTCGTTTAAACCCACAAAATGTTCATTTCGTTGTATTGATGTTTTCAAACTTTGGAGCATATTTTCAGAGTAGCGTTTTATAGAGCAGGGCCCTAGATATTGATCTCTATTTAAATGCATTTGGAGCACAGAATTCAAGACTGATTTGGAGTAGTCAGCAAGAAGATGTCAATTTAGATCGAGATCTATTCGGAGAAAAGATGCCCATAGAATATTAGTTAATAATGTAGTCAGATCCC